AGTCTAATGAGAATTTTATGCATAATTTGGATTGTTGAATTGTTCATCTTTCAGTGAAATGATTGTTAACTGTATTATCTCAAGTGCTATTTCGACAGGCAGATGAACGAATTACACTGCTGAGGGGAGCAGCGGGCAGGTCAGAAGAGGTCTGCCACGCCATGTGGTCACCTCCGGGGCAGGCGGAAATCGAACTCATGTGGAAGTCGCTTTAGCTTCTCAGTGCTGTGCTTTAACCTGCTGCACCACCAGGGAGGGTCCCTCTGAGTCCTTTTCAATTTGGCTTTTTCTTTAATGTAATGATGGGAGGGGAGGAGCAAAGGGAGATAGATGTGTCAGGGGCCAAGGAGGAACAAAGCAACTCCCTCTCCTTCCTCCCTACTCTCTCTCTTCCTGCTCAGACATATACCCTGATATCCAGATAGACCAGAATGTCCTTTGGTTCTCTAATGAATGTTGTCAACAGTCCCAAGTAAGTGAAACTCCTGTTCAAGTCACAGAGAACATGTTTTGTGCAGGATCATCTTTGACAACCAGGCAGTCATGTAAGGTAACTCTTTTCCCTCTGCCTCTCTGAAGCTTGGTTTGGGAGATATCTTTGGGTCTACCTGTCTCCCTCAAATCAATCCAGTTTCCTGTAAATACATCCAAGAAGATGACCCAAGTAAATGGGATTCAGGAAGGAATATTTCCCCTGTCCAGTCATGAATGAACTTAGATGTCAGGCTGGAAACATCTCGGAGTGGTCTGATTTCTCAGACTTCCTCTGACGTGGCCTAGGCAGAGTGGAGAGACAGGCCCCCTGTGGCCCCCAGACTTTTCTCCCAATCCTTATCATTGAAGACTTTTACTCTGAGAACTTCAGCTTGGGCCTTGTTCTTAGACACTCTTGTTTCGGCTACCCTGCCTAATTCTCCTCTCCTTCTAACAGGAAATGTCTGCTGCCCCCATCCTGTGCCAAAACCAGCTCTATGGCATCCTGTCCTGGTCAAAAGGGTGTGCTCTGAGAGGGGACATTGGCTACTACACCAAGGTTTCCCACTACACAGACTGGATCTTCAACGTCATCAGGACCTACTGAGCTTCCCTATTCCATCTCCCAGTGGCAAGACTGGGTCGACCATCCTTGACCCTTTCTTTCTTTGTAGTCTCAGAACAAAGTGGGAGTGGAATCTTTGGCTCCAAGAGATTTTCTCTTCATTCTTTTCTCTTGACTCAACCCCAGCCTAGATGGTCATTGAAGGATTTGAGCTGGATATTGTCTCATAACTGCTTAACTTGTCACTACTCTTTTCCTTTATTCCCTTGTCCAAACCCATGAGAATTTGCTGGGCAAGCTAGTCTTGTATTATGATATCTAACCAGGTTCATGACTAGAAGACCAGCTTTCAGAAACTACTTTCATGTTTTGGTGCTTCATCTAGAAATATTTCAATAGAAAACTTAGTAAGTTTATGCAAACACAGCTTTAGTCAATATCCTACCTGCAGTGTCTTGGGGCTGACTTTGTACCTATGGAAGTCAGCCAGCTCTCCTGGTTGGATTATTAAACTAAATTCTGTTCATGGCACATCAGTACCTTTACATATGACCTTGACCTAAGCCAAGTTATCAACTTTTCAAGAAGAATGACTCTAGGGGCAAGACTGTTCTCTTCACTTGAGAGACTGTTTTTCAAAATGAGACAATATAGTTCCTGTTGTTCTGTATTTATTTAAAGAGAATGTTATAGGCATTCCAAAGAAAACAACTAAGAAGGACTTTGAGCTACTTCATAAAAATGTATAGATATAACTGAAGGAATTCTGGTAAAAATATTATGCATTAGTGCTTATATCTATATTCAGGTATTTTCTTGAACTTGGCTTATACCCAGAGGAATGTATATGTATAGATAAAAAATGCTCATTATTGGGTAGTTATTGCAACTCCATCCTTAAAAACAAGGTCAAAATAGACTTATAGCAAGTCTCAGGAACTGAAGTTAGACTTACCCCACAATGTGCATTAAGTCATGTGTGGTAAGTCTAATGAGAATTTTATGCATAATTTGGATTGTTGAATTGTTCATCTTTCAGTGAAATGATTGTTAACTGTATTATCTCAAGTGCTATTTCGATCTTATTTGTAGTTCTGTAGGCTTTACATAATTTAAAAAGGGCTTAGCCCTTTTTGTGAGACATATACAGTATGATTTTTGTTCTAGCAATTTACCTTTGACACTAGTATTTCAGAAAATGAAATCAAGGCACTAAGATGGGGATACTCATGAACTTTGAAGGAGAAAAGATCACTTGGATTTTGTGTATATGTGTATGTGTTTCCTCTAAATTTCAAATATGAAGAGTTATAGAAGAGACTTCTAAAAGAGGGAAGAATGAAAAGGGACTGAAGATTTCAAGCAAAGTTCTCTGTGAGATCAGTAGTATAGTCAGTAGAGGTGACAGAGAACAAAGATGTGGAAGAGAAAGGAGAACAAGAAATCCAGGAAGCGGTAAAAATAATGATTGGGTTTAGGCTGTAACTGTAAAATCAAGAAACTTGAATTTGATGGAAAAAACCACAGGTAGCTCTAAAAGGGCCATTTGAAGGAGGAGATGATGTGAGAGAAGATAATTTTAGTATAGTTAAAAGAGGTTGCAGTCATGGGTGTGAAGAGAAAGGATTAATTTTAAATGTGTCCCAGGCAAAAGAGAAAAAAATTTTGAGAGGTGGGAGAGAAATGACAAGAAAAATTTGCTTAAGTGTTGTATGGTTATTTCAAGCAGAAGTCTGTCTAGAATATTATGTCCATTATTTGGCTGCCATACTCTCACAGAAGCATTGCTGACCCAATGTCATTTAAGATAGCAGGGTATAAAGAAATGTGTTCATGGAGCCTCCACAGAGGGAGATGAGGTGACAGAACAGCTCTCCTCAGACACCCAGAGGTCTGCCGGGAGGAAGAAAACTTGTTTGTTCCAAAGAAAAACAAAAAGACCCCAGAAAAGTCAGAGGGAGGCAGATTCTGCTTAATACAATGTTTTCACATTAGACAGTCACCTGCAGTGAAATAGGCTGTTGTAATGTTTTCCATCATGAGTATTCAGGCAGAGAATATTCAATAAGTGGACAAACAACAATCAAGTGCTCTCTTTTACCTGATAGGGGCCTTTCTGACTGGAGGAACTTGTGGCCGGGAGGCAGAGAGCACAGGTGCCCACAGATATGACCCTGCACTCTGACCTTTCACCTGGGGCAACTCTCGTGGCACCCCCACCCCCATGAGTCAACAGGCAAGGAAATAGACATACTTGTTGTGACCGACTGGCTGATACTTCTTCCACTTCTCATTTCTACCAGTGTTTCAGCCCCTCAAATGTGGGTCTTCCTCCTCTTCCTTTCTGCAATTTCCCCAGGATTTCTGAGAAACTGCAAACTGTCTTTCTTGACTTTTCTGTCCTCTTTGCTCTAGACTTCTGAACACCCCCATCTTGCCATCAGTCAGGGCTGGACTTAACCCTTCCTTGGACTAACAATGTTTGCTATGAATGGGTCTGAATTTGCTATTCCCTTTCTAAAACTTACTATCTGGAAATGAAACTTTTCCATGCGGTCTGTGCACACCATTCCCATTTGCCCCAACTTCCTATTAGTTTCTGCATACTTACATATACTTCTGTGCTCCCTAAATAGCCAGTGGCAAAGGTCATAAAGTTATATTCCACTTCCTACCGGTGGCCAGAACTGACATTGCCTCTCTCTCCATATACAGCTACCCTGAAACAACACAGGTTTGAACTATATAGATCCACTTAGAGGCAGATGCTTATTTCTACCTGAAGGCTCTGAATTCATGGATTCAGCTCATTGGGTATCAGTTGAATTCCTGTATGCAGAAACCTCATATAAAGTTGGTTGACTCTAAGCTAACCACAAATTTTCAAATCTACAGATGGTTGGCATCCTTAAACCTTGCATTATTCAGAAATTAACTATAATATCGTCCCTTCCAGGCAGACACCACCTCCCCCCAATTCTGCACTGTGGGCTGCCCTTGTAGGTAGTTCTTCACGGTTAGAATTCTGCAAAAAACAACGGCATCCGTGGCTGTACCAGAACTTCTGCTTGATATGAGAGTTATGATTCAGTATTCTCATTGCTGAGTCCCTCTTATTGACCTGAATCACTCAACTGCCTGAATCTGGGGACCTTGTCTTCCCTGAACTTTCTACTTAAGAATTGCTACTTTAGTGGAAAAAAGTGTTTACCAAACATTTACCCAATAAAGAGCTATTCAAGATATATTTAAAATGCTATAACTTAGGTAGTCAAACAATTAAGAATTGAGCAAATAACACAAAAAATGAAATGGAAAATAAATATATGTCTTTAGTCATTAGGGCAATGAAGCACCACTATGTACCCATTGGAAGTTAAAAAGAGAACCTAGTTAAAAAAACAAGTATACTGTCTTGTCAATGATGCAGAAGCTTTGGAAGTTTCATACATTGCTGTGGAAATGTAAAATAGAACAATTATAGGAAAATATGTTGGTGGTTTCATAGAAGATTAAATATGTACTTAATATTGAGAGTAAACAATCTTGCTCTTATGTATCTTACCAAGAAAAAAGAAAAATGTCTATACAAAGAGGTACTTTAATATGCATATAATTTTTATTTACAATAGTACATCGATTGAAGAACTTGTCAACTGAATAGATAATATCTATACAATGGAATACTACATAGCAATAAAAATCAATGAATTATTAATACAGGCAGCAACAGGGATGAATTACAAAAGTAAAAATCACACAAAAAGAGTAAAAAACACACAAAAAGAGTATACCATTTATATAAAATACTAGAAAAGGCCAAATACAGTCACAAGTAAGTTGACCAGTGATTTCTATGGATCGGAGGGGAGGGTGGAAATGACTATAAAAGGACTTAAGGGAACACAAATGTTCTATTTTGTGATTATGTTGTTTTTTTAAATAATTTTTTGAGGGGTAACAAAACTCACTACAATGTGTGCTAAAATATGTAAATTTTATTGATAGCAAATTAAACTTCAATAAATATTATTTTAAAAACAAACAAATAAAACTGACAGATAGTGTCTTTAAATTTTAAGTTTTATTATTCCTGTAAGGGAAAAACATAGGCAAGACTATTTGTAGCTGAAAGGAATGGGTAAGGCAAGATGAATAGGCTTAGTTAGCACTGGCTAGTTTGAATAATTTCAACAAGTTCTGAACTATTGGGAGTCTCTCTAGTTGCTTGGTACGTGGTCCTAGGGTGACTGTAACAGGAAAAGAGTGGCCCTCAGTGTGCAAACCCCACATAATGGTAGTGGGAATGTGGTCTCTGAATTGATTTTAGCACATGAAATGTAAGTTTGCAGGCTCTTCATTCACTACCTCTGGGAATTTGGTAGGTCAGAAAGGGACAATCTTTCCAGGGCCAGCAAGGGCAGACCCTGGACGTCAAAGCACTAAAAATAACAGAAAATGAAAGAGCACAGATAATATGGAAAGATGGATAAATATGTGATCAAAGACACATGGCAAAGATTAATCACAGAAACTAGATATTATTTAGTTCGATGTTAACACAATTGTTTCAAGTTTTCTGTATGTGTGAACATTTTTATAATAAAAAAGAAAAAAACCACTTTTCTAGATGTCTTATTTTTTGCTAGTTTTGACACATAAAAAAACTATTTCTCCATCTGGTTCTCCTTGCTGGAATTCCTGACCTCCTGCCTGCTCTGGACTTTGGCTGCCTGATTCATTCAGTTCTGACATTCAGCTGATCCTCCCGATCTGCCAACTTTCTTAATTCCATGAGTCACACCTGAGCTAACCAAAGCCTCTTCTTGCATAAGGTTACTGAAAAGGTAGAGCCAGCTCACGGCATACGGTAGATGAAATGAGTTCTGTATTCAAATATTTTTATGTACTGTCTCCTTCAGACCCTTGCCTGACACTTACACATAAACAATACAACATATTGTGAGTTGTATTGTATTCTTCCCCGAATGCATGTGGTGGAGACTCTTAATGACAGGGCCTCAGAATGGGACCTTATTTGG